CCCCAAAACCCCAAAACCCCAAAACCCCAAAACCCCAAAACCCCAAAACCCCAATGTCTAGTAATAAAGTTGAATAATAAGTTAACATGGGAAATACTTCTGATCGCCCAAACAATTCTGAAGACCTCTCCTTCGATGGATCAATGGAAGATGGACTTCCCAGAAGGTACACGTTCACTACACAAGTCAAGCCATCAGATGCCCTCTATCCAGACCAAGACCAGGCTGGTGAAGCCTCCCTTGTCTCCCCTATCTACGAGGAAGAGCCTGACCAGCAAGAAATCGAAATAGTTCCTCCCAAGAAGAAATCAAAGAGAATCAAGAAGGTAGAAGACTACTTCCAGTGGGACAGCCTCAAGCTAAAAGAGAAGGACATGTACTATGACTTTGTGAAGACAGCTAAGAGAGCATGGGCCGATATGGCCTATGAGGATGCCCAGGTTCAGAAGACAGTACTTGATAAGATCGCGCTCCTTAGGTTCTGCATTGCTAGGAATTTCCACCCAAAGAAGGTCCTTGATCTATGGACCAAGTGGGTAAACTGGAGAGTCATGTACCAACCTCATAAGATTAGAAAGAGGGATATCAAGCATACAGCTTTTAGGAAGTGTTTGTATGTCTCGAGGAAAAATAAACTTGGGTGCCCTTGTGCAGTAATTTCTCCTGGAGCGACGAATGAAGTATACGATATTGAGGATGTCCAGAAAGTCGTAGCTTATGTACTGGAGAAAGTCTCTAAAAAGGCTGACAAAAATGGAACTACTCAATTCTGTGTAATCTTTGATAGGACAAATATGAAAAACAAGACAGAAAAGAAGTGGATTCCAATTTATAAAGAAATGAGTCATGCAGTGCAACAATATTTCCCCGAAAGGCTACACCAAGCATATATACTAAAACTAAACTGGATTGGAAGAGTTATATACCATCTCTGAAAGCCGTTTATCCCTAAAAAGACCAGACAGAAGTTGATCATCCTCAAGAACGAAGAGAGGCTAATGGAGTATTTCGATGAGCCGTACGTGAACCCCGCCTTTGCAGAACAAGGGGAAGATGGTCAGTCATAATCAGGGGAAATTCTATATTTCTACCTTATTTTCGGCTTATATTACATAGCTTCAATAATATGCCTTACAATTGGGGTTTTGGGGTTTTGGGGTTTTGGGGTTTTGGGGTTTTGGGGTTTTGGGG